GTTTCCTCCTCCTCCTCCTTCCCCGTTCCCCTACGCGAATTGAGATTCGACCACCGCTCGGAGCCCATGCTCGGAGGCCCATGCTCGGGAGTTGCGAAGATACCCTTAGAACATCGGACGGTTTTTGAAAAATGCCACCCCCCCGAGCATGGCCCTCGAAATTCCAGCCCCATGCCGATTGGCACAGGGCTAGAGTTTCGAGGACCATGCTCGGGGGTGCATTTGTTTGTGAGGATGCTGGCATAACAGTGTTATATCGTTGCGGAGATACCATCAGGAAATCGGAAGGTCAAAACATTGCCACCCGAGCATGGTCCTCGACATTCCAACCCCATGCCGTTTGGCACAGGGCTAAAGTTTCGAGAGCCATGTTCGGGGGGCATCGTTTGTGAAGATGCTGGCATAACAGTATTATATAGTAAGGAAATAGGTGCATACATATACAGGTGTGTGTGTGTGGAAGAAACAAAGAAAGAGGGGAATAATGTGAGAGGGAGAGAGAAAGATAGCGAATTCGAAAACGGAAATATAACGGTAATGATGAGGAGCCGCGTGAAAGATCGGACAACACTCATCTGGGCCCCACAGCGACTCCACAATCCCCCTGCCTCTCCTCCTCCTCCTCCTCCTCCTCCTCATCCTTCCACACATGTTCCCCAAAGAGTTTCTAGCTCGAACAATTCAACGCATGCAAGGGTAATGCAAATATGCGATATGCAAGACATGCTACCCAAAGCAAGGGAGAGCATGAGGAGGACGAAACGATGGAGGTTGGAAAAGGGATGACAAGGAAGACGACGACGAGGACGACGCGAATGATCGACGAAGCCGACAACGCCAAGTGCGACGAGTACGTGGTCGATGAAGACGGCGGCGGCGATGACGGCCACAGGGGAGAACCCTTAGGGGGGAACTCCATGCGGGGAACCCCGGATTGATTTCTGTCAATCTCCGTAATGTGTCTGTTCTGTGGGGGCACCCCAATGTCGCTCTCATGTCGTCCTCGTTCCTCCTCCTCCTCCTCCTCCTCCTCCGCCTCCTCCGTTTCCTCCTCCTCCTCCTCCTCCTCCTCCTCCCCCTCCTCCTCCTCCTCCTCCTCCTCCTCCTCCTCCTCCTCTATCATTTTCCACCTTCTCCCACCCTCCTCCTCCTCCTCCGCCACCTCTGGCGCTCCCCCCAACAAAAAACCTTCAAAACGCCCCGAAGAACTCCCAAGGAAGCACGTAGACGGGGTCGGAAGCGCAAGATGAGTGCGATGTGGCCAACCATGGCTGAACGTTACACCGTACATAACTGCATCGTGCATAGCGCCATGCAATACCATAACAAAAAAACATGGCTATGACACGCAGTATGGAGCAACACGCCAAATCATGGCATAGCACTATGGATAATGATCAGTAATGTCTTACACCAGAATACGCGACAGCATAATATCAGGAAGCCTCGTATGGCTATGCCCCAGCATGACCCCATAGTTGTTTTTTTAAAAGGGGGCGCATGCCGCGCAACATGGCGACATCAGCATGGCACACCACAACACGGCAAAGCGCACGACACGATCTGGCTGTCGAATTGTATAACAAACCACCGGAAAGAAATACAAAAACAAAAAACGTGTGTGTGCTATAATGCCATTAGTGTGTAGCTGGCTAGTGCACGGCATAGTGTAACATTGCGTGTGCAACAACAACTTACAATGTGCAACATTGTATGGGGCACACGCGTTCAAGGGACATACCATAGCATAGCATAGCTCAGCCTGGTCCGTATATCAGTATAGGGCTCCATAGCGGATGACCGTTTACCGTAAACTAACGTACCGAAGCGCACCATAGCAAGACACGCGCATAGCTCAATTTGTGGCGCCATACCATGATACGCAATGTCACCGCATAGCAAGTTATAGCATTGCGTGGGTGTATGCAATTGAGCGCAACATAACTACGTTCACGATAGCAAGCTGTACCATAGCAGCGTTCACCTTGTTTTGTTTTCTTTGCTACAACAACCAGCATCGTGCATGACGGCATGGCTCAGCGCAACAGACGTACGACTACAATCGCATTCTGACATAACACAAAACAGCACAACATAGCGAAAAGGCAGCCGACCCTACTTCCACAGCCGCTGGAACTTTTTGGGCGTGCGTTGTATGGGAAAGCTCTGGAACCCCTAGAATTGCTGCAACTTCTGGAACGTCTAGAATTACCGCAGCTGCTGGGATTTCTCCATTGCCAGAAATTCCCGGGTGTCTAACGTTGTCTGGACTTTCTAAGAATTTCTGGCAATAGTGGAATTTCTAGGTTTGGTGGATCGTTCTGAATTTCCTTAATTTGTTTTGGGAAAAATGTGGAGTGCGCTGCCTAACCGGAGATTGGGGAATACTTACGTCCCACCAAGGGAGCCAGCGGGGCATTCCAAAGGTTTTCTTGTTTGTGTTGATTTTTGTTGTTTCCTTAGATTTTCATATAAAGAAAAATCAGGAATCCGACACATCCCCAGAAACCCAACAAAAAAATAGACATTTCAGAAATTTGGAGGTTCCCAACAATTTCAGACGTTCACAGAAAATCCAGGGTTTCTCCAGGACGGCAATGCTGGCCCTGGCCTGCAGTGAAGATTTCACACCCCTCGATGTCTCGAAAATGAAACACCTGTTCTGGAGCGCGCAGTGCAGTCGTCAGAGCACCACAAATCCGCCACCGCGCCCCCTCGCACATTGAGGCGTGCTGGACCCCCCTCGATGTCTCGCAAGTAAAAACCTGTTCTGGAGCGCCCAGTGCAGTCGTCGTCGTACCACAAATGCGCCACCGCGCCCCCTCGCGCATTGAGGCGAGCTAGCATGCCAAGCGCTGTCTGGTAAGGCTTCTGTGATCTTGTGTGGGGCCCCGCCCTCCGTGTGGCGTACACCGGGTCGGGCGAAAGGGGGGGATAGCAAAGGGGGGGTTTGAGAATCAGCTCACGTAGCTGATTTTCCTGGCGCCTCCCAGCGCCGGAGGCGGCTATGTATCGAGGAATGGGCCCCTCGGTGAGGCCGAAACCAGCTGCATGCAGCAAATGTCGTACCCCCCCTTTCCCAATCCCCCCTTTCGTCCAGCCCGAGTAGAGGTGAGCGCATCGCCACCTCTTGTGGAGGCTCTGTCGACGCCCAGACACGTCCCTCCAAGGCGCCCAAGATGCCCCAGAGGGCTTCCAAGACGGACCTGGGAAGCCACCAGGGCGGCCAAGATGGCCCAATGTGCCTCCAACGCAGCCGAAGAAGCCCGACAGAAGTCCCGAGAGCGTTCCAAGAGGACCCCCACGAAGGCCGCCAAAAGGCAACAATCAATGAGTTCCATTGTTTTCTGGTGTTTCACGTTGTCTCCTTGCCTTCCGCTCGAGGGAGACCACAAGAAGCCTCCAGAAGGCCGCCATACGGCCCCCAAGAGGCCTCGACAATTCCTGCACGAAGTCCCCGAAAGGGCTAACACGATATCCCAACGATCATCACAAGCATCATCACCAGCATCATCATCATCATCATCAGCATCATCATCATCATCGTCATCATCGTCATCGTCATCGTCATCGTCATCATCATCATCATCATCATCATCATCATCATCATCATCATCATCATCATCATCATCAAAAGTATCACTACTATTACCATCACCATCACCATCATCCGCAGCATCACGCCAATCAACATGAACATATTCAGTATCATGATAATCAGCATCACCATCACCATCAGCATCATCAGCAACACCATCGTCAGCATGATGGCCATGCCTCACAAACAAAAAAGCGCCTCTGGTGCCCCTCGAAGGAGAGCCGCCAGGGATGCTGGGCTGGCACGGTGGCAGGGCTTGCCGCAGGCAGCTGCGCAGCTCCGAGAACACGGCGAACGACGGTGCCCTCCTGGCCTCGGCGAGCCGCGGCCGAGACTATCGGCTCCCGGCCCAAGCTGCAAGGAAGGGCCCGGAAGCCAGGGCCCCTCCGGAGCAAGCTGTGGTACTTGCTCCAGTGTGCAGTCAAAACGTGTATTCAGAGCGGGCGATAAGGACGCAAGACCCTTGGAGGCCGAAGTTGGGTCTTTTAGGGCGGCGGGCGACCAGTGATAATGACAAGGACGGGCCTCAGAGGCAAGGACACAAGGGTTCCCTAGCTGAAGGCGCGCGTCCTTACTAGGCGCGTTGACTGTATTGTTCGTGTGATGAGGTCGGGCATGTCCCCCTACGGATGGATGTTGGACGAGCAAGATCCAACATACCAAAACACATATTCAACAAACATGCAAAATAATCGAACAGTCGTCCCCAAGCTTTAGGAACAACTATTTGTGAACGTTCCTCCTGTAACGGGACACGCCCGATTTAACCGTATGGAGGCGGCGGTGCTGCGTGCTCCCGTCCCACCCCTTCCTGGTTGAAGTGAGCCATGCGCTGCTCCATCTCCTCCTGGTACGTCCTCTGGGCAGGGACCGACCGTCCAGGCAGTCGAGCAGGCCTACCACGAAATGTTCCTAGAACAGAAAAAACGATTTGAGAACAAGAGCAGTGTTCTTCGGATAATGCCGATGGGTTAAAACAAGACGGCCTCAACCAGAAATGTTCTAAGAACCTGCAGCGCTAACCACAAAAGGTTCTTAGAATATTTCAGGGGCCGGCCAAAGAGGGGTGCGTCCAAGAGGGGGGGCGCAAATCGTGGCCGGCGGCATGTGCGCGGCTCAGGGGGGTGGGGCCAGGGACGCACTAACATAAGAAGAGGCGCCACAACACCTTGGAAGAGATCGTGCCCCCCGCCACGATACCCACCCCATCCTGGTCCTCACCCCCCTCTTGACCGCCCCCGAATACTCTATGGTCGGCTACACGCAAGAGTGACCCTGGGGAAGAGTGACCTTTGGTGCGCGGCTTTTGGGGGGCCGCGGGGGGGCCAAACTCAGGCGCGCCAGACGCTACCATCGCATCGCAATCGGTGATCGGGGAACCCCTCGGCTATACGCAAGAGTGACCCTGGGTAAGAGTGACCTTTGGTGCGCGGCATTAGGGGGGCGCGAGGGAGCCAAACCCAGGCGCGCATGCCGCTTATCGCGCAGCGCGTTCGGCGATCGAGGAACCCCGTTGTGCCCGCACCAGAGGTCACTCCGGCGAAAGGTCACTCTTACGTGTAGTCGGGGCGTTAACCTAAGGAACTCTAGATAAGCAACGAGGCCCCTTTTCTCCAGAAGTTGAACTTCGATCTCCCTTCGAAAACCACAGGAAAACGTGGGGCAAGCAACAAAACACTTAAGGAACACGGAGCCCCTACCCAATGAAAAGAGTTCCTTCTTCAGCGCCCCGACTGTACGGGCAAGCCGGGACGCTTCGCCACTGCCGAAGTCCTCAGGGCCGCCGCCGCGGTCTCCTCGCTGAGCCGCACGCGCCTGTCCGCCTCCTTTTTGCGGGCAGGGGGACGCGCAGGCCGTCGCCGGACCGCCGCCGCCCTCGCCGCGCCCCTCGCCGTCGTCCTTGCCGCCCTCCTCTTGTCGCCGCCGCCGTCGCCGCCGCCCTCGCCGTCGTCCTCGCCGTCGTCCTCGCCGTCCTCCTCTCGTCGCCGCCGCCGTCGCCGCCGTCGTCGCGGGGCTGCTCTTCTCCCTTCCGGCTCCCGTGCTTACGGACGTCGCCGTCATTGACGTCCTCATCGTCGCCGCCGGTGACGTCCTCATCGTCGTCGCCCTCCTCCGTCTCTTCCTCGACCTCGCCGTTTGTTTTGTCGTCGTGGTCCTCGCCGTCGCCTTCCACGGCGAAATCAGGCTGGGCGCACCCCCGTCTGGTTCGGCACGAGGAGGAGAAAGACGAGGACAGGTGGGAGCAGAACACAACAAAACGAGGTGCCGTGAGGGCGACGATGACGGGAGGAAAACCCGATACAGCCCGGCGCGACCTTTTCACAGCGCGAGCAGGTTTGGCTCGAGGGTCGAGGGCCGTTGTCGATCCTTGGCCCTCGACCTTGGGCCCCGGAGCGCTTCGACCCTCACCCCTTGACCTTCGAAGTCGCCCTCGACGGCGGCAGCGCCCGCCCCCCCGCGCAGAAGTCCAAGCGTTGCACACATCGCCGTGGCTCGGCAGCCTGGGCCACGGCACCGTGCTTACGCTCACCCCTGGCGGCTGTGCCAGTGTGCACTCCTCGGCGGCGCGCAGAGGGGGGTACAGGGAGGGGGGAGGCTTCTTAGGAGGAGGCTGCGTCCTAGAAGGTGCGGCCCATGCATCCACAAGCAAGGCCCGCCGCTTCTAAGAAGCAGGGGCGCGTCTGAGAAGCCTTCCCCCTTCCCCACATACACCCCTCTGCGCGTGGCCGACCTCTTTTTGCCGCGCTCAAGCTCAAGCCTCGAGTCCCCCGAGGCCCAACGGGGCCAAACGCACCCTGGCACCCGCGGGCGTGCGCGACGACCGACGCGCCGCCGGAGCTCGCGGCCTCCGCCGAGGCCGGCGCCGGCGCAGAGGCCTCCTTTTCAGACAGGGCCCGAGCTCGTGGGGCCCCGGGGGCCAGGGGCTGACAGCAGAGGCCCTGCGAAGATACAGTCGGGGCGTTGACCTAAGGACGCCTAAATAAGGAACGAGGCTCCTTTTCCCCAGAAGTTAAATTTCGATTTCGTATCGAAATCCGAAGGACAACCTAAGGCAAGCTGCGAAACAATTGAGGAACACGGAGCCCCTCCCAAACGAAAAGGGTTCCTTCTCCAGCGCCAAAAACTGTAGATTGCGAGCTCGCGAAAACAGAAGAAGAACACAAACGCCACGAACACAAACTGTGAGCGCTCCGCGCGGCACACACTGGAAGGGGCCTCTCTCCAGCAGTGCTCGGGCCTGCGCGGTGTCCATCAGAGGAAGAACGCAGCTGGGCACAGGAGGACGTGCAGGCAGCTACGGAGCTCGGACATGCAGAAGCAAGGTGCGGACGACGCTGCAAGTAGCCCTGGGAGGGCAGAGCTGGACACCCCCTCCCTGGCGATCGGAGCGCGCCAGGGGCGGCGCCGGTTGTGCTGCCCGGGGGGGGGGCCCAGCGCGGATCCAAAAAATCCGCGCGGAGCGCTACAAGTTTTTTCTTCTTCGAGAAAACGGAAACGCACAAGCTCAAGTGTGGCTGTATGCCGGCAGGTGGAGCGTTGAGCCACGTGGGGAGGAGAGGAGGGAAATGAGTTCAGAGCGGGGGGGCAGGGGGAATTGGGAGTGAGTGGGGGGGAGGAGGGAGGAGACAGTTTGCGACGAGCAGAAGGCAATAGAGGAACGAGAGAAGGGGTGAAATAATCGCGAGTGGAGTTGGAAGCCATAACCTCCTGTGCCATGTAGCCGGAATTATCCCCTGCTCCGACATCGCCTGACGGAATTGGAAGCAAGAACTTCTAGTGCCCTATCCGGGGCCGCTTGAAGCACCCAAGATGGCTTCGGAGGGCCCCACGGGGGCCCCAGGGGAGTCCCAAGATAATTCCAAGAGGGGTCCTAGTGAGCCCATGATCCAACTCCGCCTGGCGGAGTTGGTGGCGAAAACTTTCCAGTGTCCTTTCGGGGGCCCTTGGGACCCCGAAGACAGCTTCGGAGGACTCCATGATGGCCCTCTTAGGGCCGCAAGAGGGCCCCAAGAGGGGCCTCAGTGAGCCCCAGGTCAAGCTCCACCCTGCGGAATTCGAAATCATCACTTCTAGTACCCTTTTGGTGTCCGCTCGAAGCCCCCAAGACGGGCCTGGATGACCCAAGTTGATCCCACGAGCCCCGAGAGGATCTAAGAAGGGTTCTAGGGAGCCCATGGTCCAACTCCGTCTGACGGAATTGGAAGCGATATCCTCACATGTCCTGTCGGGGGCCCAGGACGCCCCCAGTTAGACCTGCCGGTGAATTTGTCGGCGGACTTTTTGGGCCACAGGAGAACTCAAAGAGGGGTCGCAGTGAGCCCCAGGTGGCATGAGCTCCCGCCCCCCCCGCCGAAAATGCAGGTGAATTTGAAGCGGGTTTGGGGTGAATTTCTTGGAGCCAAACAGCAAGGAGGACGTACCGAGCCAAAACGACCAACAAAAAAACACCGGGAATCTGGAGAGAATCCACCAACATTTTCACCTGGGAGCCCGGCGGAGAATCCGCCGCAAGATTTCCGGAATCCGTCGGAAATCGGGCGACGGATACGCCGAGATAGAGGTGATGACGATGTACGACATGAGAACTCCCAGAAGGACGAACCCCTTGGGCGAAGGACTGAACCCCGACCTTGGGGACCCAACCTGCAACCCGAGGTGTCGGGCCTCTCTTGAGGCCCCGTCGGGATTCGCGTGGGGCCCCCCCTTGGAGCCCTCTTGGTGCTCCTTGGGGTCCCCTTGGGGGGCACTCTAGAACGGGGCGACGAGCGCAGCCCCTCGAGCCAGGGGTCGGGATGGGCGCGTGCTGTCGTGATGAGGGCGGGGGGGCGTGGCAGCGTCGTGGCCCAAGTTGTTGTGTCGAGCGGGAGAGGGAAGGGGCGACGATGGGGGAGGGGAGGAGGAGGTGGCGGCGAAGGCACGGCAGGGGGAGAGGAGCACGAGGAGCAGTCCAGGGGGCTTCGAGGGGCCGGGGGGGGGGGGGAAGCGAAGAGGGGGAGGGGCAGAGGCTGGGCGAGGAGTAGGGGACAGACGAGCAAGAGGAGGGGGGGTGCAGGAGCGACGCGCGCAGGGCGAGGGGGGGGGGAGGCCGGGGAGGGACGCGGGGGCTTGGCCGAGTGGCGACAGCAGTCTCCGCTCGGGCATGTGCCGCTCGCGCTCCTCGCAGCGCGCGACATGCCTCGTTGCCCCAAAGCTCGCAGGCCCAGCAAAACATATAGTTGCTCTTCGTGGGGGGAGGGGACATATCTTCAGGGGAGTCGGCGGACGAGTCGCAAACAACGCGATTCGTCGACGCGTGTGTTACACGGCCACGGGAAGGCAATATGTGACAGCATGTGCGCCCCATTACATGCGGCGGCAAAGTGAAAGGTATCGCGTCGTGACTGCTGAATTGTTCGCTACGGTCTCCAGGGCGCCAACTGACTGACCGCAACGCGCCACGGAGGAAACAGCATGAGGGCGCGGGCTCGGCGCTGGCAAGCAGACGTCTCAAATGTCGGTGCAAGTTCGACACAGGAGGCGGCCTACTCGACTTACAGCGAAGTTGTAAGGCAGATGCGCTGCTGCGCCATCAGCCCTGGGCGCACGATGAACTGACACGCCTGCTAGCACGACGACAGCAGTCGTATGCTACAAAAGTCTGAACACCCACTTGGCGCGTCAATGTTTTAACGTTGCACACATGGGCCTCCTTTTTTCCACCCCCGACCCGTTGCCCCCAGAAGGCGCCGCGAGAGTCAATGCGCCCCCGGCCCTTCAGGATCCTGCAAGATCAGGCGCGCTGACGGACCCCCCTTTGCATTGACCACCGTCTCTCGCGCCCCGATGGAATGCTCGGGCGGGTGGTGCTGGGGGATGACCCACATGGGGGGTGAAGACACAGAGCCCTAAGGGAGCCCTGCAGGGCCGTGTTTGGAACACAGCAGGTGCCTCAAAGGGGCCCTAAAGGGCCCCATTCAGTGCCTTCTTCTCCACCCCGCAGTTGGGCCCCCCCCCCCCGAATTGCCACCCGCCCGGGAGGCCCGGACTGCCGCGGCCGGTCCTGCTGCACCTCGATCGCTTCCTTGCGGAGCCGCTCCTTCGCCAGCGCGAACTCCGCCGTCATGGCCAGCATCTGTGCCCATCGGCCGGGCCGCGGCGCTCCCCCCGTTCCCTCCCCTGCTTTCCGTGCCGCCCGTGCTTCTGCGGCACCATCGGAGGGCCTTGTCTGTCCCGTCGCGCCCCTATCCGCGGCGAATCCGTGTCGAATCCATGTCGGGCCCGTGGATTCCGTGAGGGATCCGTGTCAAGTGCACGTCGAGTCCGCATCGGGCCCGCGTCGGGCACAGCACAAGACTGCAATTCTGGGGGCAGAAGGCCCATCGAAGTTGCATCGCAACTCCGTGCCCGATTCGCCTTGCGGCAGCCCTGCTGTAACTCGATCGCAACTTGGACCTAAGGCGCCGCAGACCAAAAAGCACCCGGCCGCCACTGGCGGCTCGGTGCCCAGACCCCCCACGTGGTGCACGCCTCCCCCCGTCGGCTGCACGCAAGAGGAACCCCAAGCAACCTCTGGTGCGCAGGTGTCGGGGAGCGCGGGGCGGCCCAAGCCCGAGCGCCGCAAACCGCTGCCATCGCAACGCGTTCAGCCAGCTGCAGGTGGCGACATCCAAACCCGACCCCAACCAACCATCGATTCTCCTAAATCGATGGGGGGCGGGGGGCGGGCTCGGATTTTGCCTCGTCCTCGATGAGTTCCGAATCCTACCTCTGCCGCCCATCGAGTTGCCTGAACCGTTGATCCGAAGGTCGGGTTTGGATTTCGCCGCCGAACCTGGGGACCCAGGTACACCCGCCCCAAAAATCACTCCGGCGAAGGGTCACTCTTACGTGCAGCCGACCTAGGTGCCCCCCGCTGTTCTCAGCTCCTCTTGTCGCAGCATCGAGTCCTCACCGCGTACCGAGGCAGGCGTGGGATGCACGTTGCCGAGTTGGGCACTGCAGGCGGCAGGCGGCAGGAGGGGAGGAGGAGGAGGAGGAGGAGGAGGAGGAGGAGGAGGAGGAGGAGGAGGAGGAGGAGGAGGAGGGAGGAAGGAGGAGGAGGAGAGAGGAGGAGGAGGAGGACGAGGAGGATGAGGAAGAAGGAGAGGGGGAGGGGGAGGGCCCGGAGGCTCCCCGCGGCGGCCTGGCGCGTCCTCCCGGGCAGCGAGCCTCCACCAGGGAGCACCCGCAGCCCCCCCCCCCCCCCCTGAAGCCTCCTGCGAGGCGTCGACATACCCATTAGGGGGCCGCATGCGAACCCTACCCCTACCCCCCCACGATTTCTGAGGGGGGGCGGGTCACTTCGTTCGGGAGCTCCCGAGCGGAGTGAACCCCCCACCCTCCCCCTCGGAAATCGTGGGGGGGAGGGGTAGGGTTCGCATGCGGCCCCCTACCCATATCCACCGCCTGGGAAACCGACGGCCTGGGACCCACACTGGCGGTGGATAGGGATACATGTTGGCCCCCGAGGGCCAAGAGGTATCCACATCCACCGCCCGTGGAGGTCCGCGAAGATCCATCCTCCAGGCGCTGGTTATGGATACATTCCCGCCTCGGACCTCCACCGCCGGGCCGTCCTGCCCCCCCCTCGACGAGCCGCAGCTGCTGAAATAAAAACAGAGGCGTGCTAAGATCTCCGGTGACTGCTTTACAATCGTTCTATATTTCTACTTCGCGCGCGCGGGGCGGCCCCTGGGGGTCCCCGGGCGGAAAGTACCCCGGCAAGGTCCTGAGAGAGTCCCGGGAGGAGTCACCAGGGCGCTCCAGCAGCGCACCAACGCGGCTCCGAGACGTCCCCGAGAGCCCCAAGAAGGGCCAAGAGGCTTCCAAGAGGCCTTCAAGATGCTACATGAGGGGTCCGAGATGCCACAAGATCGCTCCAAGACGCCCACGATGGCCCCCAGACGCCCCAAGAGGCCTCCAAGAGCACTCCCGAGAGGGCCCCAAGAGGCAAAATTCATTGCTTTTTCTAAGGTTTGGGATGAATTTTCACGTTTCCGCCTTTTCGGCTTCACGACACCCCAAGACGGCCCAAGAAGACCCCAAGACCGCCCCAAGAGGGCCCAAGAGGCCCCCAAGAGGGCCCCAAGACGGCCCAAGAGGGCTCCAAGACGGCCCAAGAGGGCCCCAAGGACGCCCCAAGAGATGCCCCAGGGGGGGAACACGAAACAATATTTCGAGCCCTCGGCCCTCAGAAGTCCCCAGGAGGCCCCAAGAGGCCCCTAAGAGGCCCCAAAGAGGCCCCCAACAGGCCCTCAGGAGGCCCCCAAGAAGCCCCCAAGCGGCCCCTGCAGGCCAACCAAATGCCCCCCCAGCACGCAAGAAAACAGGACGAAGAGGAGAAACAAAAAACTTTTCCTTGCCGCCCGCGTCCGCAACGACAGAGGACATCAGCACTACACGAGAATCAACGTTCCCATTCAACGCCTGCCACCGTCCGACACGACAAAAGAGGCACAACCTGAGTCCCCCGCCCCCTGCAGCTCCGCACTGCCGACGGCCACTCGGCCAGTCAACGGCGGTGCGCGATATGGGCCGGCGGAATGAGCGAAGCGATTAATAAAAAACGAGGCCCGACGTTGCGACAGCAACTGCAGCAGAGCGAGGAATCACGACCAGAGCTCTGGACCCCACCTTGCTGCGGCAATGTTCGAGCCGGATCGATCTGTGATGGCCCAGGGACCCGAAGCCGGGCTTGCAGCCGGCCTGGAGGCTTTCGCGGCCGTCTTTGCGTGTATGTGTGAGTGTGTGTGTGTGTGTGTTCACGGGCAGTCTTGGGACCATTTACGGTTTTCTTGGGCTGGACTTGAGCCGCAGCAGGGCCAGTTTGAGCGCACTGGTTGGGATCTTGTGCAGCCAGGGTGGGAATCGGAGTGGCTCGTGA